TACAGAAAAAGCCTCAATGCTTACGGTGTAACCAACTAGTACCTAGTACGGAAGTATTGACGGGGCGATACTGCAATCAGCAACCGAGAAAAAATATATAAATTGTTTCTCTTTTCATTGCCAGTGACATATCGTTATTTAAATAGCCTATTGAACACTCCATAGATGCGCAACCCATTTTCGAATCATCAAAATCGTATGTAGAGCGGGCAACGTTATGTCAGAAATGCTCAAGGAATACACGTCAACACATGTCCACTCGTATAAGTTTTGTGTTATTGAAGTCGACGAGGTGTTTTTTTCGTCGAGAATGAAAATTTCACCTGAGGAAAAACATGGGAATTCAGATTAGGTGTGTTTGCTTAAGACAACGTGATTTAAACAAGCTGGTCCTTCATCCGGCCGCTGATCGTTCCAGAGAAAAACTGGAAAACAGTATACATCGTCTCGGGCAACGATTTTCACAAACAATTTTTTAAAAGAGGTTACATCAGAAAATGCTCCGGGTAACGTCACTTCTCCTTGGTCCAAAACATCAGTTCAAAAAAGTTTACACAAATGTAGAAACTGGTGAAGGTATGACAATTGGTGCAATTAAAATTAAAGGAGCATGAAAACACACAAAAGATCATTTCCGTGTTATCGACGTGGCCACACGCCATCAAAACCTGGAGTTACATTTGGCAGAAGTACTTTGGAGAAACCATAAATTGCTGTAAAGCAGGTATGATGCATATTTCATACCCTTGTTAAAAAGTGCATTCACACACGAAGATGACCCGAAGTATAAGTAAAGAATGCCGCTTCTCGACATTTTTGGAGAAATTTTGAAAACTTCAGGGGTTACGCTCCCTTTCTCTCTCTACACAGAGTGAAGGTGAGCGTAACCCACGGAGTATCAAGGATGGGACGACATGCGGATCTCGGTGATATCGTTCGCCCATCCAAACGATTACCTCCTGTAAGAAGGCATCAACTTTCAAAAGAAAAAAGGGTTACAATCGTATGGTTTTGGAAAACGTTTATTTTCGTCTTCGCCAGAGGGCAATTTCTGTGCTTAAGTAACGTTGTTTATTTTCAGTGTTTTGTACTATATTCCTTACTGATCCATGGAAACAAATGCCTGTTTCATCCATGAGTGATATATATTTGCTGTTAAATTCATTGGTTATTATAGAGTTATAAAACATATTCTTTCTGATTATGTTTGAGTGTCTTGAATGTGCGCCAACGAAATGATTAAGTCAAACGGTTCCCTTTTACCGAGGGTTAATATCTTAGAAGCTTGATCATACAACTGTGTTGACTGTTGAGTGTTTATGATAGTAAGCTGTTTCAACCATAACATTACGGCATACACAATAGGGTATTTACAGATAATTATACTGCGTTGGCGATGTAACGACACTCTCATTGGTTACAAATATGTGTAGTTTGGAAAGAGACACGCGATAATGTTACGGATCCTGCGTCAAGGGCAATAAATGTATAGCATTTAATAAAAACGGAAACTCATTTTTCAGGACTTTGACTGCTGGTGTGCTACAAGGCTTCGTTCTAAGCCTTCTGCTATTTTCAATCTATACAAGCGACGTATGAAGTGTATCTAATATCTTTGCTGATGACGCCATTCTTATAAATAGTAGTGTTCTTCGTTATATCAAACCTATCAAAGAGAAATTTTACCGCTTGAATATTATTGTTACATTCATTCTTGAATAACCTGAACTGAGACAAGAGCCCTGTAAGTAACATCTGTCAACTTATATAGAAACGGATGAACACGTATTAGCCAGCTACCAAGTTAGATTTAAATACCTATATTCCCTTGATAAGAAATATATCGACAAAACCACAATTCGAACTCGAAATCGGTAAAACTAGGGCAGAATATGAAACAAATGAAATGTTTATATGGAGAACATTGAAAAAATATAAGACCAGGTGTTCCCGAAGGGCAAGCGTCTTCTGCTTCATCGATGATAAGACCATAAAGGCTTCGAACTACGTGCTTCCCAGAAGTGAGCGTACACTATCGGAAATGATACAAGACTTGGATGGATGTGACGCATTATATCATTATACGGGGTAGGGATGTCGTTTAACATGTCCAACGCCTCAAGAAAATGCTCAATAGAGTCCGTGACTACAATCTCAAACCCGTTACAGATAGATGTAAATTTTGGCAAAATCAAGTGACCTTTGTCAGTTCACAGACTCTGCTGAAGGTATCAAAACCGGACTGTCGAGAGAGTGAGTATTGGGAAGGCTCTGGGCCCGTATTCATGAAATCATTCTCATGCTGAATTTCTTGTTCCCGTTATGAAATAACAAATTGTCTTATTTTGTCAATGATTTGGAAAAACATCGAAGAGACTTAAAGCCAAAACTGTTTTCAATGTTCACATTTGACTTTTTGATTGTTTGGCATGATTTAAGCGAGTTACAAAAAAATTGGTTTGAGCACAGTTTCCATGCTTGAGCATGAGAACGGTTTCATGAATACGGGCCCTGGATACAATCTAAAACATTGAAGATCATCATATCGTACGTTTGGTTTGGTTTGGTTTAGTATTGTTTAACATCCTATCAACAGCTATGGTCATTTAAGGACGACCTCCTCTGTGTGCAAGATGCATGCTTGTAGTGTATGCGTGTGTTTTGGGGTTTTTGGGAGGCTGCGATATGTTCGTGTTTGTCTCCTTGTGACTGCGCGGAACTGATGCCGACTTTATAGTGCTACCTCACTGAAAAATACTGCAAAGGACACCCAGCAGGACACCAACCCGGTCACTTTATACTGAAAACGAGCGAACCAGTCGTCCCACTCCTTAATTGCTGAGCGTTAAGTAAGATTCTGGTATGTCTCGGCCAGGGAACAGAACCCAAAGCATTCCTCACAGGGGCGAACGCTCAATTAAAGACCAAAAGTGAGGCATTGTCAAGGGAGACATTAGGAAGAAGAAAGTTGTTTAGAAAGAAGAGAAAATATAAGATCCCAAATTTAGGAGCCTCTTTCAATCATGCAATGGGGGCAGCAGGTACAATTCTCACGCCCTACCTGCAGGGACTCTAGACCTTACGTACACATACCCTTTCAATTTATGCATTATTTGTAAAAGTGTCTGCCAAATTTGTAAGAAAATTCCTTTCTATACTCAGATTACTTTCTGAGATTCTGAGACACTGAATGATGCTAGGGACATGAACAGGAAATCGCTGGAAGAAAACGGACCTCCTGTATTCCTACACTAACCTGGCAAGTGTACACTCAAAATTCACAAGGAATACACCCTGGAGCATACATTGTATAAGTTGGACAAGCGGCCACGAGAATTCGTCGTAAATAATAGTGTATGATCTGAAATATTGTGAGTTAACCCTTTCACCACTATAGACCATAAAGGACTTACCCAGATCAATGCATAGTAGAGTTTATTAAAGTTACATAGGGTGTTTCCTCAGTCTGTGGAGTACATTTTTCAGTCCATGCAATTAATACCTTTCCAGTTTGTAGAGGGATAAGAAATGGTATTTAGAGGGGGAAATATCATCGGGTCGTTAAAAAGAGGTGGACTTAGAAACATTTGGGTAACCCTTATATAATTAGATATATTGCTTCAGGTTCGTTCACTCATGTACACTGTATTTATACTGTACAAGGCCAGTCGTCATCAGCGTCATCACCAACCGTCATGTCCATACACAGGTATTATATATAATATAGAGTCAGTTTATGAAGATCTTGATTCTAATATCACAACAAAAGAAATTGTTAAAGCCATTGAAAACCTGAAATCAAACAAAAGTTGTAGTGAAGACTTAATCATAAACGAAATTTTTATTCAAGGAAAGCNCTCGTCTTTCAAAACATCCATAATATAATCAATATTGTTATGGGTGTAATTGACAGACGAGGCTAATACCTGTGGACCATATATAAATCGCCGTTTTTTGTGCTGAACCCCCTATGTCGAGCGGAGCAATGCATTTTTTCTTTTAATTATTTTCAGTTAAGATATAACTGTATTTAAGTCTCGAAATCAATTCTCAATGTCTTGAAAATTTAAAATTTAAAATTTAAAAAAGAGGGAAGGGGGTGGGCGGACCCCCAGGACAAGTCAATTATCCTTCCCCCACCACGATGATTCGCCCCTGCAGAATCGACACTATGGAAAGTGACCAAAAAACGCAAGTTTTTAATTTTCTTCTTCTTATTTTATACCCATAGCAGAGATTGAATATATAATTAAGATTTGTTAATGTTATAGGCACTACGGATTTTTTGTTTTATCTGTAAGTCCCTGTCATATATTTGTAATCACATTCTATTCCAGTCCTCTATAAATTATAATTTTATTTGTTTGTTACCATTGTTTAATTGAAAAGGTTATCAAACTGATATCAAGTCCCGATTGGGATACTTATCGGCTAAAACATGTTCTAAATAAATTCTTCCTTTACACACTTTGGGTGGATCCAGGAATTTCGAAGGCCGGTTGATGATGATGATAAAGGGAACACAGTTTATTCATTCAACTTGTTTCCGTGTATATATTCCCTCTCAGGGAAAATAAAATATAAAAATTCGCTGATACATCTAGCGCATTCAGAGAGCAATAGAATGTTTTGGTCACTTCAATATATATATATAGGTCAAAGAAGTAATATACATATATATATATTAGATTAGAAGAATCCAGTCAGCCACGGACTTAGATAACATTCTATTCTAATTCCGTGAGTCAACCAATAATTTCCGCTCATTCATCTTATTATATAACTATTAATAGGACCGACGTCTAAGAAAATAAAACCAAACCAATATTACAACCAAGACCAGCCGGTCAAAGGCCTCACTTAGACCCACAGGCATTTGTTTCTGTCAATAAAAATAGTAACGAAAAAAAATTCACACCCTACTCAACATCGTCTGCTGAGACTGGTTCTCGGCCCTACTTTCATCACTCTTACAGATTTGACACCAGGTGGCAGCGCGATTCGTGCAAAATCTCGATCTCCAAATACAAAAGAGCTCCAATGTAACAACGAAGAAGAACACCGGTTTTGAAAAAGATTGCATTGCAGTATTGATACGATCAGATCGCAAATTTCTTCCCTACTGAAGTTTTCCCCTTTTAAATGGTAAACATAATTACGAAAAATTGATGCATTTCCTCATTAAATACCTGCAGCATTGTCTCACGTTCTGGTATTTAGTTTTGGGAGTAAGGTCAAGGTTGACAAAATTGCTAAATTTTCCATTTCCAAATATTTAGGCATTTCATCCATTTTGATAATGGCATTGCTCTTCTGGACTACAGAACCTAAACATTAATTCTCTATTAAATCTTCTGTGCTGATGAACTGTGCATGACTTGAAATATCAAGGAACAATCCGTTTGAAAAAAATAGGTGTATATATACTACATTTTGAAGTAAAGTGAAAATGGAACAGTAGATGTTTGACTTTTGATATTTTGATAAGTATAACTTATTCGTGACTATCATTTCAATTTCAGAAGACATTGATCATGTGAATATTAATCCAGATAAATGCAATTGCTTGAAATTTAATAATTAGTGACTATTATAAATAAAAAGATGGCAATTTGCCAAACCATCTTTTTCGTTCAATTCTAATTACACACTTTTGCATTTCGTTCAACTTTTTTTATAATAGTTAAAAACTATCGGATGACAAGTGATTACGACTGTATAAAAACTTATTAGGGACCGGAGAGTATACAAACAGCTTTCCTTCTGTATATATATAGCATCTAGGGGTTTATATATGTGTCTGGCCTTATAACTGAAAGACTGACTAAAGTATGAATAGTTACCTTTCTTTCTGCATAAAACCAGATTGATTCATATGCATATGTAATGATGTGTTATGAAATTAAGTTAAGGGGTAAAATGAATAGTAACAATTCTTGATTTACTGGTATTTATTTGTCACAAAACTTTGAAACCTGTGCACTTTGAGCTCTAGATCTGTCTGAAAGGTCGGCCAACATCCTGTCCAAGTGTGAATATACTCATCATAGAATCGTTCTTCTTCCAATAATCTGCATACTAACTGTGGTAATTGTTGCAGATGATGGTGGCACATGCTACCTAAACCGTTTCAACTCTGATACACACAATCAGCTTTATTTGCATTTAACATTTTATAGCTTTAAATTTCAGAAATAGCCAGCACTGCTGTTGTTTGATTTACATTTTTTGTGCTTGAGTTACAAGGACAAATGCATTTGTAAGACTTACTTGGACCACTGAATCAACCTCAACACATTTTAATTTTCATGTGATGTTGCAAATTTTCCATACAAGTACCTGTTGGGAAGGCAGAGTAACCTAGCTCTGATCAATTGTTTTGAATAAGTCTCAATATATACAGAGTTATATACTTTTATTTACTGTAAATTTCGGGGGGGGGGGGGGGGGGGCATATTGATATTTCCTTCCCGAGGTCATCTACAACTGCCATTTTGTTTATGTCAGTATCAACTGGGATGACCAAGTGCTGTGCACTGAAATCGGGTATTGTGTCCAGCATTAAACAGATTTATGGCCCTTTGTACATTTTCATAAAGAAGTTTGTCTGAAGGTGACAACTTTGTATTGCTCCCAATATTTTGACTTGATTTTATAATTTCAGGAGCGGCTGTAGACCGTCACAAAGTTTACATTGAGTGGAAGTCATCAATCTGGACGCTGTCATGGCAGCGTTTCGCAATAATTTGGACAACAACATCAACACAATGGCAGGAATGGGACAGTAAGTAATATTCTTGTACATATTGTATAAATGTTAAAACTTTGTACTTGTTTATTTTTTTCCTGTTCCATTGGACAGCATGCAGTAAACCATTTGCCCAAGGTTTAACCCATACATGTGATGTATAACAGCCTAGACACACAAAAGGTTCCAATAGAAGATGGGTCAGCTGTTGATGTAAAAATGTATAGCAGAAAAAACTTGCTTCAATTAATTAAGTCCTTTTTTACGACATACAGTTGCTTCGGGATATATTGTGTATATGAATGTATAAGTGTATTGAAAACCTACAGTAGCTGCAGCCTGGATGTCTCAGTAAAATTGCTAGGAAAAAAATAACTTAAGGAAATCCAAGGGTCAGCTATTTAAAAAAAAAAATCAAAATCAATTTGTTCTGCAAAATGAAAACTTCAGCTATCTCTGTGATAAGCAGGATTTATATGTCAGTATTGCTGCAGATTTTTGAACATCATGCTTTGTTTTAAAATTAGGATTGAAGGCAATTAATACAAATTTCTAAATTATAGATTTCAACAGATCATATCATTATAATCCTTACAAAGTAAGATCTGAAGTTAGTGAGACTCCCCGTTCGTCTATGTAAATACATTTGTACTGCCAATTTCCCCTGTACCACAGGCTTGCTTTTGGTGCTTAGTCAATGAGTGTCAATGAACAATCAGAATTTGGTGATTATATATTCCATAAATATTAAACATAATTGTATTTGGGTGATTTTTTAATTACTTTTTCTTTTATCCTCATTTTACTACTTCCACTGAGTTGTTCCAGGAAAACTCCAGACACTCATGATCAGACTCAGCACAAATTAAGGGGAAAATCTTTATGTATGCAACTGAAAAAGGAGCCTTGTCTAAGTATTGTTGTCCTTGTACCTATGTATACTTGTACAATAGCTGTCAACAACTTATACATATTTTCAGCAGTTGTAGATGGAAATTATTTTTTCAAAGTACAAATCATAGGTGACATACAATGTAGCACTTCTGGCTTCTTTCATTTCCAAGTACTGTTTTTTTCTCTCTCATTTTTTTCATTGGCTCACAGACAGGGCTGTGGTTTATTTGATAGACACAGCCTTCTAGTAGAACCATGTCTCTCACCCATTCATAAAAGATGATGTTGTGAATAGTCCACTGATAAACACTTGATAATCGACTGTGCTGAAGTGACGAACTTGGTGTTTGGATGTATGCTACTTGTACTTTGACAAAGTAAAAAACAATTGATTGAACTGTTGTTTATTTAAAACAAGAACAATAACGTTTAACCCGTATACAGAAGTGCTTCAACTGTATTCATGATTTGCCGTGAACTTGTATTCCCGAGTGTTATATAACTCTGATATTTTCTGATGGATCCAATTCACTTACTCAAACAATATATATCTGAAAAACAAGATGATCACTGGTGCTAAAGGTGATTGTCATATATTTGATTGTATTCATGATACTATAAATCAAATACACTAAGAGATTAGACTTATCCAGATGTCAACAAGTGATACATGAGTTGTTGTTGACAAAAAAATAATGTGAATGTCAAAATGCAACATTTTTGCATAATTCCTCTCACATGTGTTATGTTTGCATTGTCACAAGAGCTTCTCCAATCTTTGCAAAACAAGAAGGAATGATGTTACATTTAACCCTTTCACCGCTGTAGACCATAATGGACTCGCATCCATATCAATGCATGGAAGAGTCTACTAAAGTTACATAGGGGTGAAATGGTTAAGACCTAGGCAATAAAGATAAAAACACAGTTGGGATTTTTTTTTAGTGTAAAAGAAAATTTGAGTTATTGTGATAATGCTACTTATATTAGGAAGACATTTTAACGCTCACCTCTCTTGCTCCAGAAGGTTTATGACCGATCAGTTTTCCTGGAACTCTCAGTAAGTAGACAAATCTTTGGTCTCCTTATTTAATTGATTTGCTGCAGCTTCCCGGCTTCCTGTGGCTGCATGACAACATTTGCATGCAGTTACATCCATGTTGCTTGATGTTAAACCAATGTTATTATATCCAATGAAACCCATTTTTTCGCATTTGTTCCTGTCAATCTTTGAACAAAAACAAAAGTTATCTACAATGTTTTCAAATAAGAATCGATGATTTTCACATAGCTTGCTTGTACCATACTGGCTCTGAATTTTGAATTAAGATTTATGTCATGTGTCTAGTTAAACTCACCAATCACTAGTGATGGGCTGATGATTGATTATAATCGAAAATCAATCGGTTTGACCTTTCAAAGTATTAATTACAAATTCCATTAATGATTATTGATATAATCGGTTCTTCATTGAAATCAGTGTGTTAATGTTTTCCATGTGAAAAATGAACTGAAAGTCATATTTTCTTATGACTTTTATTATATGATTGATAAAATGGCATAAAAATTGCTTGAAATTCATTCATTATAAAAACACAAAACCTAGTGTATAGTTAACAACTCTGTCTATTGATGTTATGATAGCGTTCGCACTTTATGCAATCAATCATTAATCTGTTTACTATTTCCGATTACAAACCTTTTTAAACCAATTGCCCATTTACTACCAATCACCAGTTCATACCTCAATATGTATACCAATCACTGTGTTAAGTCTAAACATAGATTGTGTATAGCACACACAGGCTGATTTATATAACCGTATTCCATAAATGGGTGTGTACTGCTTTACAGAAAATTTTAATATTTTTTTCTGTCAGGTTAATTTTGTTAGTCTCTCACTATATTTCATAGAAGTCACATAGCGGTAGTTACACCATAAGCTGTGCGATGTGATATAAACAATGCACATGTATCTGTACTGTCCAGACAGCTGTACATTATATGTACACCTGCACAAATCACCTGGATCATTTATAGCCCTCAGGATAAAATAAAATCTCAGAGCTTCATGTCAAAAGTTACACACATATATGCTGATTTTGAAGATCCAAAGTTATTTGGATTGGTAGAAAATCTTATTTGCCCGGGATTAGAGACATAAAAATGTACCTGGCAATGAATAAAAAGTTCATCAAGAAAATCAAGATGGCTACCAAGGTCTCGAATTGTCAAATATTTGCAACTCCTTTTCTAAGTCAGATAATATAACAAATAATTAAAGACAGATGAGTGATACAGGCCCCATATACAGCTTCAGACTTATTATTTTGAATTCTTGATCTGGTCATAATAACCAGCTAGTCTTAATACAGTACATAGACAGGTTGTCTCATTCAGTTTTGCATAGTGGTATGTTATTACCTGTAAATTGAAAGTTTTTAACCTTGGACTAGTTTGCATACAGGTATGGAAACTAGATATACTTGTAGAAATATCACAAACAATCATGACTGCCCTGGTTTCAGTCCCAGCTATATAATATTCTCTCTGCTTCATGTCACCATTTCGGCAAAACAGCTTGACACCTGAATTTAAGCACTTGTCTTGATGTAGGGTCGCTGAATACTTTAACAAAGTATTTTCATTATTAAGACTCATCTTTGCGGTCTAAGTTGAAATGTTGGATACTGTAGGACACTAAGCTTTAGTTTGTGTGATGTTAATCGTTCTTATGCGTAATATGTATTTTTACATAAAGGACTGATTGCAAAATTGTCCTTATCGTACGGAAATCCTTTACACATATATCAACACAAACACACAGAGTGATACACAAGTTTGCAAGCTGGTGTTTCCATTCCTTTTCGTTATGATAAGCTCATCGTGAATAGGAATGGAAACAACATTTTTTTTGCTAAAGCAAGATTGCAAGAAATCTGTAGTATTTTACATAAAACAATTTTCAAGAGACTTAGTTAAAGAGAATTTCCATGCGTAGATTTTGGTGATATGAATCTGTTTCAGTACATTCATATGACTAGTGTATACTTCTGTGGTATTTGGTGGAATGTTTTACCTTTATTGCTTTGATAATGTGATGCTTCATGAACTTTGTCTAGAATTTTTCATAATGTCAATTAAAGGGACATCACGTGAAAAGGTTTTTTTTTTTTAATGAATGTATGTATTGTATGTACTTCCACTTATGTTACCTCGCTATCCCCATATTCATAGTCATTCCAAATGTCCAGTTTGACCACTTGAATTGTTCGGGAAAGCCCTGCTAAAATTAGCGCCGATAACGTCACCTGACTAGGCAGTAAACAGAAGTTGTGCGAGCGAGATGAAACGGTTTCCAAAGGGGCCCCCAGAGAGGGGCCTGTCAGGCAACTGCAACCTCTTACCGCACTATGAAACCAAGTTATATGATTTCCGAGTCCGTATTCAAACTTATTGAACAGAAATTATTCATCATTAGAAGTTAATTGCACACTTGCCAATGTTCAGAATTTAAATTTATTTAGCTTTAAACATAAATTTGTTGCCAATAAAATTAAACAAGGGATGGGGCACAAGTTTTTACAATTTATCACAGCCTTCTCCCGTCATACATTTACAATTAAATGTCAACAATGATAATAGACATAATCATGAAGTAGATATATTTAGATATATATTGAATTTAGTATCGGAAATGTAGCCGGTACAGATGGTACGGGGCTAAACACCTTCCCTACACCAAGGGACAAACCTTTCTGGGTTTTTTTTTTATATTGCCGGGGCAGAGGAGGCCGGGTATTCATATTAGTACTAATTTAAATCTTGCATGTAAAAACAAAAATAATCATTTAATTCAGCAATATATTTAAATCATACCATTTTATTGAACCCGGTAATATTATAAATTATGTAAAACCACGGACTTAGATAAAACGTATCTCGGTGACCCAGAAAATACGCCGTGGGCCATCACAAGTTATCCCTTGGAGGGCCTCATGGCAAAATCAAACTAACCAGTCACTTATCCTTCCTTTCGCATAAACCACTGTATAATTATAGAAACACAAAGTAAACTCTCTCCAATACATGCACATTAACATATTGAACTAAGTTCATCTGTGTTCAAACTCAGACAAAGATACTAGCGAGCTTTATAGTTTTAGATATTTATTCATAACATAAACAGCGCTAGCATTTCTGTCGATTCCATTTCAGCTTAACCCGCTATCCGTATACGAAGAATACATGCACCGTACTAACTGCTACGGCAGTTATTTTCTCCTTTGAATACTGCCCGCCTGCAATAATGATTCCGTAACGTACTCCTTGCGCTATCTTTTGACCATTTGGCAACTTTTCGTTTCGTAGCTGACACGGTACAACACTTTTCTTTCGCTTACTTCACGCGGCCAGTCATTTTGTTTACAAAGAAATGGTGTGCTATGCGCATGCGCTGGTAGAGGGAAATCCCTGAACAAAACGTAGGTCAGACAGGTAGAAATACCGATGTTTTTCTTAGATTTAATCATTTTTATGAATCTATTTCAGCCAAATCCGATCGTTATTTTCCATAAGGTGTTTCACTTGATATGTTTATGTAGTATTTGAAAAAAAGACAAAAAATAAAGTTACTTCACCGTGATGCCCCTTTAATAAACACATGGTTAAGCGAGTAATAAATATGATGCATGTTTTTGTAAATATATGATAGAACTTCACTAAAGAAGTTGCCACTTAAAACAAGATGTATTACAATATATTGAGAGTTCAAGATAGATCACATGCTCAAGCTGTGTATTACTGTATTTCAATTTACACCACTTGTCACAACCAGTGATGATATCCATATTTGAGGTTTGTTCTTTTTTTTTGAGATGATGTATTTTGAATAAATATATTAATAACAAGGCCTAAAGAATGTAACAAATGCCCAAAGGATGTTGATTAACAAGTTATTTATTAAAAACAAAATAACCAAAAAGTGTTGCAATACTGTAAACATGCATATTTCTTTGCGCTCAAAAATATAGTACATTATCAAATTTTATTTTATTGAAATGAAATTTCAAGTGCGTTGCTGAACTGGCACACCCACAATGTACATTGCTGATCAGGCACACCCACAATATACATTGCTGAACTAGCACACCCACAATATACATTGCTGAACAGGCACACCCACAATATACATTGCTGACCTGGCACACCAACAATATACATTGCTGACCTGGCACACCAACAATATACATTGCTGAACAGGCACACCCCCAATATACATTGCTGAACTGGCACACCCACAATATACATTGCTGAACTGGCACACCCACAATATACATTGCTGAACTGGCACACCCACAATGTACATAACTGAACTGGCACACTCACAATGTACATAACTGAACTGGCACACCCACAATATACATTGCTGAACAGGCACACCCACAATATACATTGCTGAACAGGCACACCCACAATATACATTGCTGAACAGGCACATCCACAATATATATTGCTGAACTGGCACACCCACAATATACATTGCTAAACTGGCACACCCACAATGTACATTGCTGAACTGGCACACCCCCAATATACATTCTTGTACGCCATAGGAACATTGGAACAATTCTCTTTGTTTATATTTCCGTTTGCATTAAATAATTTGTTAGTTAAAAAAATGCATATTGAATGGCGCAACTTTTTTGTTGTTGACACTTTTGTCATAATGTTTTTCTATAAACAACTGAAAAGCTAAGCTCAACTGTGACCCAGATACCTAATATACATACATGTACATATTACATTGTTTCATTTTATTATTACTTGAGGAGTCTGATCATAACTCATATTTTTGCATGCCATTATTTTGACAGCCACAAATCAATGAGTATGAAAGGTGTCAGTTTCAGTTGTTCTAAATAGTGCTGTAATTGAATTCTCTCTTGACCTAAAGCTTGGCATAATCTGCTTCCGAACGCATTTTGTCGCCATTTTAATTACTGCATTGAATTTTACAGTTTTGTTTTGTCCAGAGAATGTGAGCATCACAGCCGAGCTTGTCATCCTGGCTAGTGGAACTAGCAAACCACTATATAATATTTGATAAAAATTCAGATTTTTATTTTAAGTGTTATGAAAAAACAGTGTCTCACATACATACATGATGTATATAATTAGGTTCAAAATTATTTTAACCTTCAAGGTCAAGGTCACAACAAGGGGGGTAAAATTTGTGAAAATTGTTTAATAAAACTTCATTGGATATAGTACATTTAACTATTATGACGTTAAGTTGGTGTGTCACATACGACAATCAACTTCACAAGTCTGTTACCTTTAGGTCAGGATCACATATCTGCAAGGTTATAATAAGGCCATGGCAAAGATAACAAACCATTGCAAGGCGTGTTGCAACTTTAACTTTTGAATTCTGGAGACTTTAGTACATGTATATAATAGGACTTGAGGGTATATCATGTAGGGTAGTACCGCTCAATTGGATACCAAGATGAAAAAACACAATTTCAAGCTCAAAGTTTATAATAGTATGGATAGTTTTGTAATAACATCTGTAGTTATTATTACCAAGGTATGTATATATTTTTGTAACTAAATTTAGTTTAATTTACAGGTAAAGATTTGTAATAAGTCATTGTAGGCTAGGTGTGATCATGTAATTACAGGTAGCATGTATTCTGTTGTAATTACATACTGTATACCAGAACATTTTCGCTGCAGTTTACTTATCATCTTAAGCTTCTTCACCCTGTATAATAAGGGTTAATACAACATAATAGACATTGGAATTAAATGTGAAGGGCGATGTTAAAACTTGGTGAATATGGATTTTACCATTGAAGGGGGAAAGTTTGCCTGGGTGCCAATTTTCTGGTATACTGAAATTTTATAATAACAAATTTATAGTTACAGATGAAGGCATTGTTTAGTAATTATAGATACCTTTTTATAATTACAGATATGGTTTAAATAATCTTGGTAGAAAAACAACAGGTGAATTATCGCCAGGTGCGAGAAAAAATCTGAACATGTCCGGGATGTCGTCACAGCCACCACAACCTAACCAGCCACCTCACCCATCACAGCCTTCTAAACCCAGGAAGGTAAAAAACAAACATGTAGTCTTTCCTTATTTAAGCAAATGGTGTACTGTACAAGTGTAAGCAGACAGGTATGGTTACGATCCCCTATGAAAATACCAGGTGTGGGGGTCTTGGTTTGATATACAATTTGGTTGGTTGGTTAAGGTGTTTTCCATCTACTATCACTGACGAAGTAAGTGTTTGGGCGACGTGAGGGGGTAAGTTTCCGCTTACCGGCCAGGCCCTCGGAGATTCTAAAGACCTGCCCATCCAGGTCACGCTCTGAGGTCAGACAGCTCCTCAGATGCAAACAGGCTGTCACAGCGGCTGTGTTCCATGGAACAATGTCCTTAGTTAGTGTTACAAATGTAACCCCGGTATTTGTATGTACAGATTTACAAAGTGAACAATGTAGGTGTCTTAACATATTTGATTACACTTTATACAAAGGTAAAGTACGAAAATACCTTGAATTAGTTCATGTGTCAGGGTTCAAAGGTCAAGGTTAAAGTCACTGTTTCCGAAATTTGTCAAACAAGGACACTTTACCAATGTTGCTATCGAAATAATGGTGGATGATGTCTGTCTGTCCCTCCATCTACAAAAATACCTAATTTCGTATCACGTAATGTTTATTTCAGGGTTTATTTGGGGAGGATGATGACAGTGAGACAAGTATGTATTTCCCACAGACCTCCGGACTTCAGTCTTCCGTATTTAGACCCGACAGAGATGTAAGTACAAATTCCTGCACCTTTGATGTATCAACAGCTGACAAGTTAGTCTGAAGTAAATTATAATTTCTTTGAAAGATTGTGTGTGATTTGATATGTGACGAAAACAAACAAATCTGAAAATGCAGGGTTTAATCCCATTCTAATTTTGATATGGTTCTTTCGTCCCAAATGTTTACAAATCTTCAAATTTAAATAAATTTTAGTTCACCTCAGTCCATTATGGTGTTTCTTCTAGTAAGTTTGGGACTATATCAAGGTTTTACATTCCCAAATCTTGTATATTGACCAGTAAAATACCTTGCTTCCTCACCATAAACCAATAACTAGCCACAGTAGGATGCTGGTCATCCAAACCTGGTATGGTCAGAACTCTGTGAGACAAGTTCTTCAGACAACTCTTTACAACTCTTTACAGTAAAACCTTAATGTAATGTCCATGCTTGTATTTGCCGCCTTACTGTCAACGTGTTTCAGTGTTCCCTTTTTCCCTTTTTCTTACAAAGTTCTTTATTTGTTTCTCTCTCAATTTATCAGCAAACCCCTTCACACAACCTAAATGTCTCTCGACATAACAAGGTTTTTATATGTAATTATAACCTGTGAATTTTTTTCTGCAGGTAATGAATTCACAGTCACCTTCACAACTCTCGAGTGGATTTGGAAACAACTTTTATAATCAAGGAGGTATTTAATTTTATCTGTAAATAGCATCACAAAATGCAAAATCCTATGAAAAAGACATGTACACTTTACTTAACATGTTGTTGTTTTTTTATCTTTAATTGCTTTTAAGATACAGGAGATGTAAAATTTCACTTAATACATACATCCACCATTCATCATTCATTTTTCTCAGACTAATGACTAATGGCATGAGGAAAGCACAGTACTGACACCAGCAATATTTTCTCTCCACATAATTATATTATATTTGACATGAAAAACATACCAGGTTATTGTGGAATCTGTCAATAAAGAGTTAGTAAGCAACACAAAGAGATTACTTGGGCAGTGTCAGTCTTATCATTGTCGTTTTAATAATCACAAATTGTTTGCCTAATCTATGTATTTGTTTTCTACTCTCAGGTCTGAACAACTATGCCCTACAACCGAGGGGCCCGGTGTCTGGTGTGACGGGGCCACAGTTTAGGGGCACAAGTCAGGGGCATGTCACTCCCACCAGTATGAACCCTAATTTTCCAATGAATCTTCAACAGCCTCCTCAGCAACCCTCACCAAACAGGTATGCAGAAATCGTTGATCAAATGATTCCAACAGTCCTACAGGTCCCTTTATGATGTTTCTCATAAAAACATGTGTTTAGATATCGACAGCATTTTGCTTTGATATGATGTAGCAATTTTGCATAGTGTGTTCTGTTATGAGTATGAATAGACGTAAATACTAGATTAAATATCTAGGTATGAGTTAAAAGACGTAAATACTAGATTAAATATCTAGGTATTTGTTAGATGAAAATCAATGTACATTAAGATTATCAATGTAATTTAAGTATCTCTTTGACATGATATGATAAATGTTGTCAGTTTCAATGAATAAGCATATTTTTCCTCAGGAATGTGATTTCTGCAATCGGTGGACAAAGAAGTGTCATGAATCAAAACCAGGGCAGCCAGTCATTATCTAATCTACAGAAACGAGCCCTGGGACAATCTGGTCTCCCCAAGTAAGTCTGATATACAGAAATGAGCGCTGGGACAGTCTGGTCTCCCCAAGTAAGTTAGATATACAAAAATGAGCCCAGGGACAGTCTGATCTCCCAAAGTAAGTCAGGTATACAGGAACAAGCCCAGGGACAGTCTGGTCTCCCCAAGGGAGTAAGATATACAGAAACAAGCCCTCCAACAATCTGGTTTACACAAGTAAGACAAATATACAGAAGCAAGCCCTGGGACAATCTGGTCTCCCCAAGTAAGTCAAATATACAGAAACAAGCCCTGGGACAATCTGGTCTCCCCAAGTAAGACAAATATTCAGAAACTAACCAAGGGGCAATATGGTCTCCTTCAGTAAGTCAAATATACAGGAACAAGCCCTTGGACAGTCTGGTCTCCAAAGAAAGTCAGATACATTCCTGGGACAGTCTGGTCTTTCCAAAGTGAGTCAGATATTCAGAAGCGAACCCAGGGACAGACTGGTCTCCCGAAGTAAGTCAGATATACAGAAATGAGCGCTGGGACAGTCTGGTCTCCCCAAGTCAGTTAGATATACAGAATTAAGCCCTGGGACAGTCTGGTCTCCCCAAGTAAGTTAGATATACAGAATTGAGCCCAGGGACAGTCTGGTCTCCCCAAGTAAGTTAGATATACAGAAAGAAACCCAGCGACAGTATGGTCTCCCAAAGTAAGTCCGATATACAGAAATGAGCCCAGGGACAGTCTGGTCTCCCCAAGTAAGTCAAATATACAGAAACAAACCCAGGGACAGTCTGGTCTCCCCAAGGAAGTTAGATATACAGAAATGAGCCCTGGGACAGTTTGGTCTCCCAAAGTAAGTTAGATATACAGAAATGACCCCTAGGACAGCCTTGTCATCAAAGTAAGTGAGATATACAGAAACAAGCCCTCAGACAGACTGGTCTGGTCTCCCAAAGTAAGTTAAATATACAGAATTGAGCCCTGGGAAAGTCTGGTCTCCCCAAGTAAATTAAATATACAGAATTGAGCCCTGGGACAGTCTGGTCTCCCCAAGTAAGTTTAATATACAGAATTGAGCCCTGGGACAGTCTGGTCTCCTCAAGTAAGTTAAATATACAGAATTGAGCCCTGGGACAGTCTGGTCTCCCCAAGTAAGTTTAATATACAGAATTAAGCCCTGGGACAGCCTCGTCTCCAAAGTAAGTCAGATATACTGAAACAAACCCAGGGACAGTCTGGTCTCCCCAAGTAAGTCAGATATACAGAATTGAGCCCAGGGACAGTCTGGTCTCCCCAAGTAAGTCAAATATACAGAATTGAGCCCTGGGACAGTCTTGTCTTCAAAGTAAGTCAGATAGACAGAAACAAGCCCTGGGACAGTCTGGTCTCCCCATGTAAGTTAAATAAACAGAATTGAGCCCAGTGACAGTCTGGTCTCCCCAAGTAATTTAAATATACAGAATTAAGCCCTGGGACAGCCTTGTCTCCAAAGTAAGTCAGATATACTGAAACAAACCCAGGAACAGTCTGGTCTCCCCAAGTAAGTCAGATATACAGAAACAAACCAAGGGACAGTCTGGTCTCTCCAAGTAAAACATATACAGAAACAAGCTCTTTGATAGTCAGGTCTCCCCAAGTAAGTCAGATATCCATGTTTCATGTAAATATTGAAAAACTTTGAAACTTTTTAAATTGTTGATAATTATATTAACTGTTTGTTTGTTGTTACAGCTCAAGTACCCCCCTGTCAAGTATCAACAATAATTACAACTTTGGACAAAGTAGTCGACAAAGTAAGTCATTTAGCACATACAGGAGCATCCTCGATATCCAGGGGTTACGCTCACTTTTAGCTCTGCACTCCTGAAATATGTCATAGCAAAACTGAAGGCAAGAAGATAGCTGTTTGATTGGTCTCGGGTAAAAAAAAAAATCGCTGGGTTATTATACCTGTCCTTTGAAGATTACAAAGGAGAGATGCCAGACTTAAAAGCCTGTTAATTTCTACCGTTAGTTGACCGCAACATTCTTCTGATGTACATCACAGGATCAGACTAGTCTTCTTGTCTCATCAACAAGGTGGGACACACCGAGCTTTCAATTTTGCTATGACATATTCCAGGAAAGCAGAGAGCGAAAGTGAGCGTAACCCCTGGATATCGAGGATGACACAGGAGCCGATTGGATTTTCAGTGATTCATTTGTGCTTCGGGAGAAACATAGAAGAGGGAAGAAAACGATATTATTCCAAAAAAGGAAGAAAAATATGCAGTTGAACCACTAAATACAGTGAACACCTTGAAATTGTCTTGAGATTTATTTCTGTAATAAAAAATACAACAGTCAAATATGTCAAACTCTTTAAACGACATCTTTTGAAGAACTAAAAGATATAGAATCTTTATATTTGGCTGATGGCTCCATGGGATAGAGCCCAACAAAGTTTGAGAATGAAAATGACTGACCTACTTTCAAGGTCATAATGGTCAAATGTGTCAAACTCTTTAAACGACTTCTTTTGAAGAACTAAAAGGTATAGAACCTTCATGTTTGGCTGTTGGCTTCCTGAGATAGAGCCTGACAAAGTTTGTGAATGAAAATGACCTTAACCTACTTTCAAGGTCACAGGTGTCAATTATGTAAAAAAAATCATCAAACAACTTCTTTTGAATAATCAAATAATGACCTCAACCTACTTTAAAGGTCACAGAGGTCAACAACATTTCAAAGGACTAAAATCTTATGATAATATTCAGGTGAGCAATACAGGCCCTCTGGGCCTCTTGTTGTTTACCTAGGACTCCACATATTTGAAATTCTGCACTAAAATGCTGGATGGAACACAAATTTTATAAATTTGTGCTAGGACTAGTTGAAATTGTTCTTTTTGTTGGGTTTTTTAAGGATGAATATTTTTCTTTTGTCTTTTGACAACATATATGGTTGACTACACTCATTTCATATTGCATAATCACCTTCTTTAAAGTCAAAGTGATGATTTGTATTTTCATGTAGTAATTATATATTTTTCTATTCGTTCTAAATTATTTCCGGTATTTTCTTTTCGCAGTTTTTGGCACTGATGACTCCTCACAGCCTGGGCTAGACCTGTCTGAATTTCCGACCCTAGGCAACAGAAACAACATGCCCTCAAATCCGATTCCGGCTGCAAGAAATTACGGTAAATGTCAGTTTCATTTTAAGCCAAATGTTTGGTACACATACATTTGAGTTCTTTTTTTATTATCAATCTTCTTTTGAAGTTCAATTGAATTATTTTGTGAGACATTGTTTTGATTTGTTTTGAATTCAATCTGAATTGAATTTTTGTTCATGATTTTTGCTGCAATTGATATTCTTGAGCAGAATTTTACTTAAAAATTAATGACTGCTTCTGTCTATTGTCTTACTGTCCTTCATGTGAGGACGAAATCTATCATAAATTTTCAAAATTCATTTTTTTCGTAAAATTCAATTGAATTTCGTGAGACTTATTTCAACATTTATTTCTTCGCTTTTTCTTCATTTCTGTTTTAATATTTTGAGTTTTGCTTTGAAAATTTTATTTAAATTTGGTTGATATTTTGTTGAAATAGTTATCTTGTTTAATATGTCATTACACAATTATTGCATGCATATAAATTTGGCTATATAATGAAACAGTGCAAACAAAATGAATAGCAAATTGTTTTCGATAATTGCCAAATATTGATAATCAAATGAATCATAAAATATAATAATATGAAAAAAATCGTTTCCTATAAAAACAGTTTTAAGTCCATATTTTTTAATAAATTTGAGCCTGATGGTAACAAAATTAAATATCAAGATTATATGATGTCCGGGTAGTTTGGTCCATTGAAGGCGGGGTAAGATTGTCCTGATGCTGGTAATCTTATGTTTATGTTTTAGTGGGCATGGTGAGTAAACCTGTAATGGATCAGACACCAGAGTTCCAGATACAACAGGAGGACTTCCCAGCGTTACCCGGCGCCCAGAGTGAGTTGAGGCAAACACACAAACTGCTTACCAAAAAGTTATCTTTTAATGTTTGAAGCAATGGAATCACTGTTTAGATCTATTTGTTGGTGTGATTTGGGGCTGAAATGTATGATTGTATATTCGAGTAACTTTTTTAACCAAAGTCGGGGGTATGTAGTTTTCACTTTGTCCATGCAACTGTCTGTACATGCTGACTTTGGTTTCCAGAGCATATCTCAGCCTTTCTTTCATAAGTGGACAACAAACTTATTATATACCGGAAGGTACATAAATTGTATTTGAAAATAGAAGATGACAACATTTTGATGGAGTTGAAGTCAGAGAAATTTATTTCAATGCTGATTCTTTTTTTGTAGATCCTCCATCAAGTTCAGCCGGTGAAGGAGCCCGGAAAACAGTAAGTTTACTGGTCCCCCACATAAACTACCACAGGGAACCTTCAGTTTGTAGTCCACCCATCAGTCCCCCTCATGTACCACCACAGGGAACCTTCAGTTTGTAGTCTGCCCATCAGTCCCTCCACATGTACTACCACAGGGAACCTTCAGTATGTAGTCCACCCATCAGTCCCCCACATGTACCACCCCAGGGAACCTTCAGTTTTTAGTCCACCCATCAGTCCCCCCACATGTACTACCACTGGGAACCTTCAGTTTGTAGTCCACCCATCAGGCCCCCCACATGTACCACCCCAGGGAACCTTCAGTTTGCAGTCCGTCCATCAGTCCCCCCCACATGTACCACCCCAGGGAACCTTCAGTTTTTAGTCCACCCATCAGTCCCCCCACATGTACTACCACAGGGAAACTTCAGTTTGTAGTCCACCCATCAGTCCCCAACATGTACTACCACAGGGAACCTCAGTTTGTAGTCCAACCATCAGTCCCCCACATGTACTACCTCAGGACATGTACTACCACAGGGAACCTTCAGTATGTAGTTCACTCGCCAGCCCCCCCCACATGTACCACCCCAGGGAACCGTCAGTTTGTAGTCCACCCATCAGTCCCCCACATATACTACCACAGGGAACCTTCAGTTTTTAGTCCCCCCATCAGTCCCCCACATGTACCACCACAGGGAACCTTCATTTTGTAGTCCAACCATCAGTCCCCCACATGTACTACCACAGGGAACCTTCATTTTGTAGTCCAACCATCAGTCCCCCACATGTACTACCTCAGGACATGTACTACCACAGGGAACCTTCAGTATGTAGTTCCCTCGCCAGCCCCCCCCACATGTACCACCCCAGGGAACCTTCAGTTTGCAGTCCGTCCATCAGTCCCCCCCACATGTACCACCCCAGGGAACCGTCAGTTTGTAGTCCACCCATCAGTCCCCCTCATGTACCACCACAGGGAACCTTCAGTTTGTAGTCCGCCCATCAGTCCCCCACATGTACTACCACAGGGAACCTTCAGTATGTAGTTCACCCGCCAGCCCCCCCCACATGTACCACCCCAGGGAACCGTCAGTTTGTAGTCCACCCATCAGTCCCCCCACATGTACTACCACAGTGAACCTTCAGTTTGTAGTCCACCCATCAGGCCCCCCACATGTACCACCCCAGGGAACCTTCAGTTTTTAGTCCACCCATCAGTCCCCCCACATGTACTACCACTGGGAACCTTCAGTTTGTAGTCCACCCATCAGGCCCCCCACATGTACCACCCCAGGGAACCTTCAGTTTTTAGTCCACCCATCAGTCCCCCCACATGTACTACCACTGGGAACCTTCAGTTTGTAGTCCACCCATCAGTCCCCCACATGTACTACCACAGGGAACCTTCAGTATGTAGTTCACCCATCAGCCCCCCCACATGTACCACCCCAGGGAACCTTCAGTTTGTAGTCCACCCATCCGTCCCCCCACATGTACTACCACAGGGAACCTTCAGTGTGTAGTCCAACCATCAGTCCCCCACATGTACTACCACAGGGAACCTTCAGTTTGTAGTCCACCCATCAGTCCCCCCACATGTACCAACACAGGGAACCTTCAGTTTGTAGTCTGCCCATCAGTCCCTTCACATGTACTACCACAGGGAACCTTCAGTTTGTAGTCCACCCATCAGTTCCCCCACATGTACCACCACAGGGAACCTTCAGTTTGTAGTCCCCCAAAATCAGCCCCCCACATGTACCACCACAGGGAACCTTCGGTTTGTAGTCCACCCATCAGTCCCCTACATGTACCACCACAGGGAACCTTCGGTTTGTAGTCCACCCATCAGTCCCCTACATGTACCACCACAGGGAACCTTCAGTTTGTAGTCCCCCAAAATCAGCCCCCCACATGTACCACCACAGGGAACCTTCATTTTGTAGTCCCCCCATCAGTCCCCCCACATGTACCACCACAGGGAACCTTCAGTTTGTAGTCTGCCCATCAGTCCCCAACATGTACCACCACAGGGAACCTTCATTTTGTAGTCCACCCATCAGTCCCCCCCACATGTACCACCACAGGGAACCTTCATTTTGTAGTCCACCCATCAGTCCCCCACATGTACTACCACAGGGAACCTTCAGTTTGTAGTCTGCCCATCAGTCCCCCACATGTACCACCACAGGGAACCTTCAGTTTGTAGTCTGCCCATCAGTCCCCCACATGTACTACCACAGGGAACCCTCAGTTTGTAGTCCACCCATCAGTCCCCTACATGTACCACCACAGGGAACCTTCAGTTTGTAGTCTGCCCATCAGTCCCCCACATGTACCACCACAGGAAACCTTCAGTTTGTAGTCTGCCCATCAGTCCCCCACATGTACTACCACAGGGACCCTTCAGTTTGTAGTCCCCCCATCAGTCCCCTACATGTACCACCACAGGGAACCTTCAGTTTGTAGTCTGCCCATCAGTCCCCCACATGTACCACCACAGGGAACCTTCAGTTTGTAGTCCGCCCATCTCTCTCTTATCAGCCACGTACAATTTTGATTAGGGCATTTTTGTGTGTGGATTCCTCTTGGGTTTGGCAGAATGCTTCACACTCAAATCAGGTTTCTCATCCAACTAAATGCTAAGTTATGGCCATTTGTTCACTATACATCATTATTTCCAAGACATACGACCCATATGACTGTCTCCACCAATTGACAAATTAAAATTGAAAAGGGTCTAAAACTAAAATTGGATCTAGGGTTCAATAATATACCGAGTTATGACCTGTTGTTAATTTTGCAATCTAATATTTTCTGTGATTAGAGATAATGGATTGCTCTCAATGCTTTACTTTTCAAGAAATCTGTAAAAAAAAAATGTCTGCCTATTTAAAAAAAAAAAAATGATTGAATCACACTCAGTATTTTTGAAATTAAACAAAAGTATGAATATGTATATATTGGTTTTGTGTTTGACAGCCAACAAGTGTAGCAACAGGCACATATGAGCAGGCTGTCAGTAAGGATGGAAAGTTTCCAGGTGACAAGTCTAACAACGCCCAATCAAAGCGGGGGATACAGACACACCCAGATGGTAAGCAGAGTTTTCAACAGAGACCTAACTGATTAATATTATATATCAACCATTAACACCTCTTTTGAAATATTTTTTTTGTCTACAAGATATCTCCAGAACCACTCAACAGATTTAGAACATGACCACTTTTGAAGTAAACAGGTTGTGTACAAGAAATCTCACAACAAAACCCTTATTAATTCAGTTTATACCATTGTATGGTGGTACAATGGTAACATCAAGCTCTATTCCTAGATAGATTTTGATAGTCATTTGTCGAGGTAAAAGGAGTCAAAAGTCACTGGTTAACACTTTTGAAGTACAACATATCTCGTGAATCCCTTTAACAGGGTGTATACACCATTGTTTGGTAACACAAAGTTCTACGCTTCATTGAATTTTGGGGTCATCTTTCATAACTAAAAGGTCAAAGGTCACATTTGACGAGAATTTTGGGGGTGTGAAGGGTGTATTTATGCGAGTCCCTTGTTTTACTTGTTATTTCGGAAGTTGAATAATGAAATTCAGGTTTATATGAGGTAGGTGTCTTTGGTGGAACATAATCACTCGCAAAATTTGTGGCAGCTTATTTCCTACACTGACCACTATTATTATATGTCAGATTTATTCACAGAAAGATGTTCTATCTTATCATTGTCCTATTTACTTATGTACAGGTACAGTGTCAAATATACCCACCGGCATGGTAACTGACCAGTTCGGCATCGTAGGACTGTTAACTTTCATCCGTGCAGCAGAAAACGACCCAAATTTAGTGGCACTAGCACCTGGCATCGACTTGACGACGTTGGGTTTAAATCTCAACTCACCCGAGTAAGTTGTTATCATTTGTGTATCTTGTTTAATAATAAATTTCTGTTTTAATATTTTAAAAATATATTACCTATCAATCAATGGTCCAGGATGCCTAGCAGCTCAAAATCTGTTCAGGATATCATGCTTTGTTTTTGACATTTCCAGTGACCTGAACATTGTAGTTAGCAGCTTAAGGGGCTGGAGTTTAAAATGCTTGGATTCCCAGGAAAATTTTAAATTAGAAAATGGTAAACCTATCCATCAAGCCATTTATTGGATGATGGTTCCTCCAGATTGAGGAGTAGATGGGTTAATGAGATAACATAAATAATGCTTTTTGCTGCATTGGCAAATTAAAAGGTTCAAAACTTCTGATTAAGACACCCTCGCACTTACCGTAGTCTGAGTGTAAAATTGGGATTTTAAAAATATTATACTGTATATTTGTGTTGTTACTCATGGTGTGGAAAATTTTACAACGGCAATCAATGGTTCAGAAATCTATATATATATATATATAATCTTAATAATGTAATGATAAGTATACATGTGTGGATATTTTCGCACTATTTTTACTCAATGCGAAAAATATGAATATTTAAAGTAAATGCCTGGTTAGTAATGTTATACTACATGAATGTCTAAAGTTGATCTATACTATCTGAGAGGGCTCCACGTTTGTACTCTCTGTACCTCTTTAGTTATGATTTGCAATGATTATGTATATATATATTAGTTAAATGTTTACGTGAATTTGCTGGTAAGTCAATCAGGTTCTGAAAATATCTTGGTCCTACCAGGTAATTTGTTTAATGGTTATAATAATAATAATAATATACAACATTTGATATAGCACTCTATCTAGCTAACATAAGCCACTTTGAAATGCTTTACGCATGCAGATTCAAGAATTTTAGATTTTGGACCTTACAACAAAATGTATTATAGATAGATGATTTCATTTCATTTATTGTTTTTACATGAGAAATTTACCTATTTTAAATGCAGATAGTTTCATTACTCATTCAAGGATCCCTGTGCCACTGCACTGCTGTTTTTTCTGTATACAGTAATCTCCCTTCAACTTCTGTCTGGCTATAAGTATAGAACATTTGGGCAAGTACACTTCTGTTGACCAGGTAGCTCAGTCAGTTACAGCGATGGTATATCAATCTGAAGTCTGCGGTTTAAATCCTGGTCTAGCCCCGCTGACTTTTTTTCACTCAGAACATTCTTGTCGATTATATTTTGTATATTTTATCATTATTATTTTTCATAAAAATCCCCTTAGATGTAATCATGTTGTTGGGTTGTTTTATTCAGAAATGATTTGTTAAGGCTATAGTAATGCAGGAAAACAGATTCTAATCCTAATTTACAGTTTTTGACATCGGTACAGGGATCCTAAATTTCTTTTTTAATTTTTAATGTTATGGAGCAGATGGCTTAATTCAATATTATTCAATAATATCACATTGACTGTTTTGTTATCATAACCTGTTACTTTCAATTCTTGCAGAAACTTATACAGTACATTTCAGTCCCCCTGGGTAGACCTGCCCTGCAGACCACAAGATATAGGTTAGCATATTTGTATTGTACAATGTACCTTTCTCACCTTCCCTGTAGCTTGACGGAGTGATCTCCCTTGCCAAGTTGAGCAATTTCCAAGAGCTTGATGGGAGTGGTCTCTCGATTTATTTTGAGAGATCTTAGAGCTTGATGGAGTTCTGTTGCCAAGGGGAGACGTTTGTTTACAATGATGACAGGCTGTAACCTAAATATTCTGTTGTCTTGCTATAAGATTGGTTCCTATGACTTTTCCAGAAATCTGTACAGCACATTTCAATCGCCATGGGCTGATTCCCCCTGCAGGCCACAGGATATAGGTCTGATTTCACACTCACCATCTTATCTCGGTTTGCTTTGGTTGGCTAGTTTCCGATGACTTCTGTGCTTTTTGTGCATATTAGATAAAAAAAAAATTGCATATGAGTGTTTTATGATTAACATCAAGTTTGAACAAATTAATTCTGAGAAAAAAACACATTTTACAAGCACGTCTGAATATGTGTGTGTTTCTTTGTTGTTTTGTTGATCTTGATGATCAAGTTACATGATTGCATTTTCTTGTTTCTTTATTCGTAGGTTTGATCGTACGAATGTTATAATTTAATGTTTCAATTTTTAAAACACTTTTAAACATTTCTAGTTTTGTGTATTGTTGATATTGTTGGTCATTGTGTTGTTTTCACAAATCTACCTTCAGAAAACTAAAACAAAATTGTGATTTTGAATGATTTAAACTAGTTTTAATGCTGTACATCTTTTTTTCGTCGCTTTTTTTTTAATTAATTGAGATGCATATTTTGAAATGTGAATAAGCATGTATTATATGAATGTACTTTTTAATCGGCTCTTCTAGTGGGTAAAATGCTTTTGTACGGTTCTGTTATTTGACTTCTCAAAAAGTATGCATGGTCTTATCATAATTATTGAATCAGGTATATTATGGAATTTCTGGTATACCTTCAGATACTGGTACAATAGAACTTAAGTCTCAAGAAAAGAGTTTCAGAAAATCATCTTGTTTTATTGCCAGAGATATCTTAATAATCTACCCTAGTATAAGCTTTTAGATATTTAATGAACAAAGATGTAGCATTTCTGAAGAATCCTCTTTCTTCCTGGCACCTTCTCCTTCTGTAAAGAAAAGACAATCTAAAAAGAGGAAGAGTTCTTCATTAAGTACACTTGTTATGAAAGTGTATTTAAAAATGACAGAAAATTTATCAGGAAAAGTTAAATTTCTTGGGGAAAAAAAGGATCTTAAGGGAATATCATATTATAGCAAAATAAAACATAAATCATCTTCTTGAAACATTTATATAATCTCTTTAAAAGCAAAAAGAAAATTCATGTTAGATAAAGAGAATTATGATCTTTCTGTTCCTATTAAACTCCAACGGTCTGGAAGGCCTAGTATTGTAGGGAAGTCTATTTGAACATTTTGACAGAGCTATACATGTTGTATACAGTTCTACAGACAAACAACAGTCTGCTATATCTTGCTATTGCCCTCATTAGTTCATTTGTTAATGATCAGGTCAAAATTGGGTTTATACAATAGGCTATTGTACTTTATTTCTGGTGGTAGCTCCATAGATATGCCGTACTGACTACAAATAACATGCCAGATAGTCTACATGATTAATCAAAATATGATGTATTAATAATATATTGTACATTATTAATGAACATTATATTTTTTTTATTTTATTTTTTATAACTCAGACTATATAAATCATTTTATAAATATGTAACTATATAAATCATATTTTAAATTTATTACTCAAACTATACCTAGGAAACAGTTTTCTGGTGACATATATACATATAATCCACATTTTCACAAAGGGATGTAACCTTGTAAATTGTAAGCTGTCAGCTTTTTATCCAAACAAATGTGTGTCCTCACATATTCAGGTCTCATTGTAGTCATGTTTACAAAACTTCAAATAAATGATAATGAATTAACGTTCCAGACGATAATTTACATGATAATCATGGATTTCCGTGAAAGCAATTGTGTAAAAATGTTATTCAAGGGATCAGGCAACCATATCAAAGAGCAGACCTTTGTTTATTACCTGGTAATAGATAAATACAGGAAAAATCCTTACTTCTTTTCAAAAACAGTTGTGCTTGTTAACATTTATAAAAGGCTGTAAAAAGAGCATGTACAGAGCTGGACTCCCTCATTTACATTGTATGGTTGTTAATACTTGTGTCTGTTACAATGTAGTTTCCTTACGACTTGCATGATTGATGTTTGACCATTAATAGATTTTATCTTAACTCAATTTTATTCATATTTCAACTTTCACTTCACTTACTATATATTTAAGTTTTTCAATTGTTATGAAATTTTAGAAACACTTTGTTGTTGTACATGCAGAATTATTAACAGTTGTTTACTGCTAATTGTAATAAGTTTTTAGATAAAAAATTGATTTTTATTTGGGTACCTAAGATGTGGTCAAGTACATATACATATATTTTAATGAATAAATAAAATAAATAAATATACAGCATTTGATATAGCGCCCTATCTAGCTAGAACAGGCCACTCTAAAGCGCTTTACAGTACATAGATATACAATTTATACAATCAATACCATATACATTAACCAATACAATGATGAGGAATTTGCAGGAGCTGCCTTATCAGGCGCTAACTACTAGTTCATATGCCACCTGGCTAATATCTCCCTATGTGTGTAAGCCTGTGTGTGTGCTGTAGATGTATTGATCAGTGTTATTTACATGGGTTTGTTATGCTGGGATAACACCTAATTGTGTATGTAAGGGAAATACAAGTATTCAGCTGACTTTTCTGATGTATAGATTAATAATAATATTATTGAACTGAAAATTCACCTGATGTTGTTTGTGTACAGTCAAACCTTTATACAAGACCACTGGATAGAGATAGCAAACAAAGTCATATTAATACTCGGGTGATCATGGCAGACAGATGGTCTTTCTAAACAGGTGATACCTATAGACAGGTGGTCTGTATAGAAAGTTGATATTTATAGACTGGTGGTCTGTATAGACAGGTGATATTTATAGACTGGTGGTCTGATTAGAAAGTTGATATTTATAGACTGGTGGTCTGTATAGAAAGTTGATATTTATAGACAGGTGGTCTGTATAGAAAGTTGATATTTATAGACTGGTGGTCTGTATAGACAGGGGATCTTAACAGGCAGGTGGTCTGTATAGAAAGTTGATATTTATAGACTGGTGGTCTGTATAGAAAGGTGATATTTATAGAC